AAGACCAATGGTGCTACTTGGTTTTTATCACTCTCTCTCTATGACATTTTTCTACTTTTTTGCCAGGGCCTTCTATTCTAGTAATTTGGGAGAACGAGCAGATTGATACCAAAATAGGAATTTAAGCTGTCACATCAAATTAATGAAGCAAAACGACATAGGGTTCCAGATCATTAAAAAATAAAGAATAAACATGAGTCCAATCCACAATCAGAAGGATTCACAAAACCATAATCACAAGGTTATCAGAAACAAAATCACAGGTTTAGCAGGTAATCAATTCAATGAGACAGTGATTAGCAATTTTATTTTTTTCTTTTGAAATAGGAAGTTCATATTAGCAATTTTATTTAAGTATTCTTCATAATAATGAGCCACTCAAGTACTTATAGGGTGTCTAAGTAACCTAATATGACTAAATTAAATTTTTGAAAATAATATGACTATAATACTTAAATAGGAGGATAATAATAATAATAATAATAATAATAACACTTCTAACCAAATAAGAAAAAATTCCAGATCAATTAATACAAACATTTCTATAGTTCTTAAACAAATCAAATACCCTTAACATAAAGATTATAATTATATAAAAAACCCATAAATGTGAAATAATTAATTATATGTTATTCTAATTCTACATTAAAATGGCTCAATTTATTATTTATATCCTAATAAGCCTCGTGCAAGACTCCACAAAACTAAATGCGTGGATCAAAAATAGGCGCATCATATCTTGTCCAAAAGGCAACAAGAATTCGATCGCTAGATCTTTGGCTCTAATACTATGTAAAATAATTAATTGTGGTCAATTATCCCAAAGGTCCAGATTTATTAAAACATCTTTTCAAAAACTTCACAGAAAAAATAATGTAAAGAACAATTATGATGCAAATAATAAAGAGAAACAAGAAAAAGAGTTACAAAGAAACGCTCCAAATAGTTATTTATTAACAAAAAAAAAAAGTCTATATGAGATGACAAACCTTCACGCGCTTCAGTATTTCAACACCTTCCAGTGTAGCTAAGAGATTATCTCTGAGATAAACAAACTGAACAAAAGCATTTTCAGTTACAGAAACTAATATGATTAATAAAAGCACATCATAGATAAATGGGAACACTTTGTTGTATATTCTTCATTGTATCGGTATCAGTCTTTTTAGTAAATCCATTGTATCAGTAGCATTATTAGGAAATTTCACTTTAGACAACAAATGCAAAACCATCTGTCCAGACATATCCATTAAAGATTTAAGAAATTATATTGTTTCTAAGTGATTAACTTTCCCCAATTCATTTATCATTCATTTGAAGAAAAATAACAGCTTTTGTTTTCCCAGTAGCTTTTCTAAATAAAAGAAGACCTTATTGAGATTGAGAGAACAAATTAAGGAAAATAAGACATCCTCCTCATAAAATAAAAGAAGAAAGCACACTCAAAGGACAGAAAAAGAAAGAAACAAATAAAATACATCAACTACGGACTGTCACTAAAGAAATCCCGACTACAGTAGAGATGAAGATACTAATGTCATGAAAGTAATCATGCACTTTGGCCCATAAGGAAGGCAAGAAAGTAACTCTCTCCCAAAGCTCAGAGTAAGAAGTACTTCTGTTGGTAAAAATTGTAAAATTGCGAATAAACCATAAGCACCATAGATCTGCAAAGAGAGCACCTTCCCACAATGGTTTGGCTTGTTTCTTCACCCCTTTCTCATTGATACAAGCACTAAGAAAGGTTGCCACTGTAGGATGCAAGACCCAATAATAACCAAACAAATTAAAAATACTTGTCCATAACTTCCAAGCAATGTCACAGTGAAGGAACAAATTAGCATGTGTTTTCCCTCCTCTAAAGAACGTAACATAAACATCAAATGGCAGGGCCCTAATAAGGATAACAGTTTTGGAGAAAGTCGTTCATGTTCAGCTTTTGGTGAATTAGTAGTCCAAACAAAGAGCTTCAATTTAGAAGGAACAAGACCCTTACAAAATACCTTGGCAAGTGAGGCATGTGTGGTGGTGGGGTTATTCGCAAGGTGTTGAAAGAGGAATTTACAAGTAAAAACCTCCAAAGACTCCAAGGTCCGCACACTTTAATCAGACTGCGACAAAATAGTGATAGGTGCCAACAGATCCAACTTGTCAAGCATGTCCAAAGTCTCCATATCAGAAAGGTTCTGAAAGAAGTGAAAGTTCCAGGATGTCCTACCATCAGTTGTCCTAAAAAGGGGTATCTGCGCATCGTGCCGTAAAGAGAGACTACATAGCCTTGCGAATTAAGTAGCTAATGATTGGTTACCCAACCATCAATCTTCTTAAAACCTCAGGCTACAACAATCTCCCACTTCTTTTCTTAAAATAAAAAGTGTGATAAGTATATTAAGTAAAGGCACCAAGAGGGTGCCACCCATTTACAAAAAATTTACATGTTAGTAAGCATATTTACAATGAACCCAAAATTCTCAATCCTGTATAGGTCATGTCCCAACATCATGGACCAAAATAATGAAACCACCTATCTCTAGTATTGACAATCTATCATTCCCTCCCCTCAAATGTCCTATTGTTTCTGTCTTTCTAAAATAACTCAAGGTATAGACAAAAGAATAAGACGAAATGATCTATTCTTCCAACAAATCCCCTCCCAAGCCAGTAACTCACTTTTCACCAACTCCACTATAACCCAATTGATGCCCGAAAGACCCATGAACTGAGTTCCATACACTGTATGTAAACGGACACCAGAGCAGGATGTGGTTGCCAGTCCAGCATCATTTTTACACAAGAAGCATTTATTGATCATAATCTTGCCCATTTTCATTAAATTATCGATAGTTAAAATACATTCCTTTACCGTTTCCATGCAAAAAGAAAAAAGAAATTTGTGGTTGAGCTCTAGCCTTCCAAAACATTTTAGTTGGAAAGATGATTGCACCCATCTCTCTATTGCCAGTCAAATGCCTATAGAAAGAATTCACAGAAAATTTTCCATTTTTTCCATAAGAGTTTATCTTTATTATTGTTGAGGTGGACAGCGGCCAGAAGCTGTAGAAGATCTTCATATTCATCTACTTCCCAATCCTGTAAGTTTCTGAACATATCAACAGCCCACTCCCTGTTATTGTCCCCCCAATACGCCTCGTCGACAAACAGTCTTTCTTTAGGCAATGGTGTAGGTCATAGGATACCAGGACATTAATCTTTTGTTTCCACACCATTTGTCCTGCTAGAACCAAATCCTGTTACCCTGCAAACCTCCCACTTGGTACAATCGAGCACATTATTCTGTCTCTTCATAATGTTCTTCCAAAGACCCACCCCATGATTTCTATTCTCCAAAGTATCTTCTCTGCCCCCTCCGCCCCCTTTGACCTCAATGATCCTTTTCCATAGATTGACTTCTTCCTCCCAGTACCTCCAGATCCATTTGCCTTGTAATGCTTTGTTCAAGTCAAGCAATGTTTTTTTTGAAATAAAAGCAATTTGTTCAAGTCAAGCAATGATCTTAAACAAAGGCCTCCAAGCTCAGTAGAGTGCTTCTCCTCCCATTTCACCAAATGGTGTCTCCTTTTGTCCTTATTCTCTCCCCAAAGAAACCTGCAACGAATGGCTTCCAATTGTTTTGGTACTTTAACAGGCATAGTAAGCAACGACATATAATAGATAGGGAGGTTGAAAACAGTGCTTTTAAATAGTGCCAATCTACCTCCTTTGGGAAGGAATTTTCTCTTCCAACCAGCAAGTCTTTTTTCAAACATCTCAGTTACGGGATCCCAACTTCTCCCATCTTTGTATTTAGCTCCAAGAGGAAGACAAATTAATTGGTACTTGTACATCTTTACAACTCATAACCCGAGCAAGGGAATTCCTCATTCCGCCCTCACCAATTCCCACGAGTTCAGATTTATACAGATTAATTTTTAAACCAGAAACAGCTTCAAAACAGAGTAGGATACACCTTAGATTGAGCAACATATCAACCTCAGGTTGACAAAAAATCAAAATGTCGTCGGCAAAGAAAAGATAAGTAATTTCTAGGTATTTCTTTTTATTGCCGGTAATGATACCTGTGGAGTACCATATTTTATCAGTTAATTATTTTAATTTATTATTTAATTATTTGGTACAAGATTTTATAAGAATAATAATATCATATAATAGAAGTCTAATAGAATAACAATTTCTCTATCTATAAGTTATGAATTCTATAAATACCGTAAGTGTAACAACTTAAACTGTGATAAATAAAATTATTATTTTTTCTCCAAAATCAACATGTTATCAAAACCAAAATAAGATTATTTTAGAATTCTAAATCTAGAATTTTTTCAAAATCCTAAAATAGCAAAATAAGTTGAGTTAGTGCTAACCTATCAAAAAAATCAAACCTCACCAACCACTCAAACAGAGCCACCGCTCACATATAGCCCGCCAACTGTATCAGAGTGTCATTTCTCCCGCACGTAAGCCACATGCGCCGCCAGCCATGGTAGCGCGTGATCCCCATGTGCTATCATGAATCAACTCATTCTGATCAGAATCGCATCACACAACTGTCGCGCGCCCAGATCCGACCCTTTTTTGGCGTTTCACACACGATCCAGCACAGATCGCGCGTCCAAGTTCCTGCCTTCACGCGGCTACGCTCAATCGGCCAATATGTCGTCTTGCGCCCTCCGCCATGTCGTCCCCGCCATCCCTCGCCTAGAGACGACTCGTCTAGACCTCCCCATGCTACCCACTCCGAACGCGCAGTGAACCGCGCTGCATTGTCTTACAGACATCCTCCACTGTACAATTCTAGCTTTTCGCGCACGGGGAAGCCCACTCTCGCCATTCCGCACGATGGACCACCCTGATCTGGTTTGTCCACGCCTGAACAGAGTTATCCACGCCCAAGCCCCTGCTAAGCCAAACCGAGTATGGGCCATTTTGAGCCAACTTCGAGCCTTTTTTAGCCGAGTCCGAACCGTTTTGAGCCAAGTTCAAGCCTTTTTTAGATGAACACGAGCTGGTTTTTTAGTCGAA